CGATTTTTTCGTACACAATTGATTCCGAAGAGTTGCAACACTACGAGCAGTGACCTAACTATGTGACTTTGCAATGAGGTCAAGAATAGAACTATTAGAACTTATTTATTGTGTAAATATTGTTTATTTTGCTTTGTTTGCAAGTTTTCAATTAAATTTAGATATTAAGAATTGTACATTTTTAGATCCAATAATAAAACTTTTATAAATTCATGGTTTTACGAAAAAGGTTATCAAATTTGAATAAGTAACGCTTAAACAAAGTTATATCTGTTTGAAAAACATGAAACGTCAAACGGTACTTGTTAGATTTGATGGACTGTAGTACTTTTAACATATTCAATAATATAATTGTAGCCGCTTAAAAACAATGCGAATCTCTGTAATCTATTTGCTGTTACTTCGGGTATCCCTCGATTAGGCCCGAAAATCGATAGCAACGGTCTATGATTGGTTCTCAAAGTAAACGGAATCGATCTCCCATACAGATATTGGTGAAAATGTCTAACACCAAAAATAATCGCTGTAGCTTCTTTTTGTATTTGTGAATATTTTTTTTCTGCGTTACTTAATGTGCGCGACGCGAATGATATAGGTTTTTCACGCCCATTGCTATCGATTTGTGATAAAATAGCGCCTAAACCTGTTGGGGAAGCATCTACGGTTAGTATGAGGCTAGCATTAGCATTGTAATGAGCTAACTTGTTCGGATGCTAAAAGCTTTGTAATTTTGCAAAATACATCATTTTCTTTAGTAGACCAACACCACTTTACACCTTTTTTTAATAAATTATACAAAGGGCTTAAAATCGATGAAGCATCGGCTACAAAACTTCTGTAGTAATTTATAAGACCCAAAAATGACTGTAACTGACTGACGTTTGCAGGTGCCGGAGCTTTCAAAATGGCTTTAACCTTTTAGGGCGATTTTTTTAACCCGTCTTTGTTTATAATATATCCTAAAATAGCATATTTCGTCTTGAAAATAACTACATTTAGACTGTTGCACCGTTAGGCCTGCGTCCTGTAGTCGCCTTAAGACCTGGTGTAATCGCTCCAGGTGCTCAGAGTCACAGCTGCCCGTTAGAAGGACATCGTCGAGCAGACACACCGTGCCGTCCAGCCCCGCAAGTAAATTGTCCATTGCGCCTTGGAAAATAGATGGTGCGCTCTATAACCCGAACGCCAGGCGCGTATACGCGAACAAACCACGGTGCGTATTGATACAGGTTAGCTTCTGTGACTCATCATCTAGTAAAAATTGATTATATGCCATTGATAAATCAATTTTAGTGAATTTTTGTCCTCCGTATAACTTGGAAAAGAGTTCCTTTATAGTTGGTAATGGATATTGTTCCACAACCAGCTGTTTATTTATGGTGACAGAATAATCTGCACAAACACGCACCGAACCATCTCGCTTTAAAATGAGAACTATCGGTGATGCATACTCTGAGTGCTCGACATGTCGAAGTACACCCAGTTCGACTAATCGACTAATTTCTTTCCCAACCTTTTCTTTCAGTGTAAATGCTATGGGACGCGGTTTAAAGAAAACAGGCTTTGCGTTATCTTTTAAAGTCAACTTAACTTTATATTTATTAAACCTTCCTAATGATTCTGAAAAGACACTTGGATATTTCGCCTTTAATAGTGCAGTATCTATAACGTTTGTTTTACACTGATAAACTGGAGCCAACTCTAAATCAAACTGTGCCATAAAATCCCTACCCAATAACGGAGGACCGCCTCCACGAACTACATGCACATTTAATTTTCCGAACGGCCCCGCCACTCGACATTCATCGGCGCATAGCCTGCACAGCCTAAAACCTCACCAGTATAGCTCACTAGATTTTTCTTAGTGTCTAATAATGGAACGTTACAAAAATAATATTTAAAAATCTTTTCGGACATAACCGTCACGGCTGAGCCACTATCGATTTCGAATTTCAAATTTATTCCGTTAATACGAACCGTTTCTGTCAGTGGCTAGCCTTGAAATGAGCGAATATTAAACAACTCACCATCATCAGCATCACTATCATCTACCTGCACCGACCGCAAATATTTTACGTTTTTACACATTCTCCGCAAGTGACCTTTCACATTGCATTTTTTACACACGTAATTAGCAAAACGACACTCAGTGGCTTTATGGTTTACGTAACCACACACATGACACTTCACTTTCACATTTTTACCGATTTTGAAGAGTTGGTCTTCAGTGGAGGATGTCAACCCAATGTGCGTGCTTGCGACAACGTTAGATCGGTCAGCTCCTGCATGTACATCTTTTCTTTTTCGATGCCAGGTAACATCCCCATAATGAATTTATCCCGTAAAGCCTCTTCCACTTGCTGAACCGGCAAGCAGCTGTGAGACCGCGTAGCCTAGCTGCCCATTGCTCAGCCGATTCCGTTGGCAACTGAGTAGCGGAATAAAATTTGTGCCGTTCACTAAATCCTGTCGATCGTGGCGTAAAATGATTGTCTAGGAGTGACAGAATATCCTCCAATGGTATCACCTGTAGCTCCTTTGGTAAAGCTAAATCTGACGCTAGCTTGTATGTGGCATCGCTGAGTGCGCTCAGCAAAATCGCTCGTCTTTTACGTCTACTACTTTACGCCGGGTCTTTTACCGTGTCAAGGTCGTTCGCGATGAACCACTGTAAAAGCCTACACTTCCATGTGTTCCAAGTTTGTACGCTGTGGTCGAAATTGTTTGGAATTCCATAATTCGAGCACGCCATTTTTTTTTCAAACGCGGGTACTTCAGATTCGAGGCCAATCTATACTAATATTATAAAGCTGCAGAGTTTGTTTGTTTGTTTGTTTGAACGCGCTAATCTCTGGAACTACTGGTCCGATTTGAATGATTCTTTCAGTGTTGGGTAGTCCATTTATCGAGGAAGGCTATAGGCCATATATTTTTTTTCAAAATTAGGGATCCGTAATACAATTGCTATTTTGTAACACAAGGTGTAAAATCAAAAACCAATTTTTGCGTGCGCTGCAAAAACTATTGACAATAGAACAAAATGATGTACTACGGGTTTGTAGATCCCATTAAGACCTACAAAAAAGTCCGCGAGAACATATATCTAGCTATCATGGTTTAATCACAATAACCGATTTTGTGTTCAAAATAATTATTTAATCGTCTGAAGATAAAAAACTACGTTAAATATGTATCGTAATATTAATCTTTATCGAAATTAAGCATTATGTTATCAAGAGTATTTATGTAGAAGTAAAATACTTTTTTTTTTCATCTCAATCGGATATTTCGTTTAAAAGTTATCACGTGTGTAAGATGTTAAGAGTTGATACCTATTAATGAGTTATGGGCCATAGAGTTTTTTATCAACATAAAATCCTGTAATAATCTTTTTCGAAATATATTTGTTGATGATTGTAAGTATAAGATCTTTGAAGAGTATAATAAATACATTTCTAAAATAACTCTGCTAAGGAAATCCACGCGTGCTTGATGCAGGCTATAATGCAATGCAGAGCGATGCGTACTTGCAAGCGGTCGTGCGCCACTGTACAATAAGAATTTAATTCGCGCTCCACGCGGCAACAGCCGTCGTGAGTCGGTAGCAATGAGTTCCGATCAACTCATAGCTAACGAGTTGTTGGCGTTTATACAATACGCCATTGACACCATGGACGAGGTCAGCATCCTGCAGATCTGTCAGTCCAACTTCAAGGAGGATGAGGTTTGCAGTGGCAAGGCGCTGCTGTTCGGGTGTGTCGGCAAGGCCGACAAGATGCCATCTCGACGGAGGGATGGAACAGAAAAGAGTGTGCAGGATATAATCACCCTGCTAAAGGAGACGGATCCGGACGACGTGACTACATTCGTGGCAAAGGAGCTGCACAAGCTGCCCCCGATCACGTTCGACCACGTCGATGTCACCAGGCTGCTGAAGGACATCAACTTCCTGAAAGCTAGCCTGGCTGATGTAGTGAGCAAGTGGGAGGACGCGAATAACACCATCGGTGAGTTGCGAGCTCAGGTAGACTTATTAAGCAACAATGCATGCGCAAGTAGGTCACCCTCGGCCTCTAACGTGAACACACGTCGTGGGACGCAAAATGCATCCGTCGGCAGCATTGAGTCGGCGCCTACGAGTGCGTCACCGGCCGCCGTCACCGCGAGCGACGCCGCTGTACGTGTCCCGACTGCATTACTCTACGAAGGAAGAGGAGATCGTAGAGTACCATTAAGACCAATTTCTCCCTCAGAGGCGCATGGTTGGAGTCCCGTCACAATGTGAATTTAATTCCTTTGTGGTGCGGGTGCCAACCGAACATCTGGCGACGTTCATGAAAGAAGATTTTTGGCCGAAAGGTGTTGTGTTCCGGCGGTTCCGAGGCCGGCTACCTCACACCACTCCGCGTCACACGTCGGCGTCTATACGTATTAATTAGGTTTCTACTAACATAGTTATTATTTTTTTTTAATTACTAACATTTAATGTATTACCTATATCTGTATTTATGTTAGACTATAAGGTATTTATCTATGGGCCTACGTTGCCTGACTATAAATAAAAAATAAATAAAAATATAATACAGGCAATATTTTATGTCGGTTTTTCCACGGAAACGAAAAAAACGCGTGTGAAACCGCGGGGCACGGCTAGTAATGTATATGTGGAACGGAGGGACAAGTGATACGAGCGAAGGTCGGTAACGCACTGTATTTATTGTATGGAACACAGGTAACGCGGATGCAACCGCGTTATAGATGCTTATATCTACACAACAAAACTAAAAAGGAATTTCCTACAGAAAACAAATCGAGAAGAAAGCTGGCATCGTTAATGAGGAAACGTATAATTTTTAAATTGTAAAACGCTATTAAAATTATGGATTCTCTTGTCGGTTCTTCTCAGTCTCCGGCGCTGTGGATTTGCGAACTGATGGCGTTGGTTTCACTTTTCTTATGTTCTTGTGTAGGTCTATATTAAATAACTTGCATCGATTTACCTGAACGACGTTAGTTCTGTCCAGGCAGTCGATACAGTTGACCCGGAAGACGCCGTTCTGCGCGCAGATCAGGCCGCGGTCGTCGCGCCAGCAGAACCTCATCTCGCCTATAACGTCGGCGATCGCGTTGATCAGTATGCTGACGTTCTCGTAGTGCATACCGCGACTGGTTGGAAAGATTTAAGATAATTTAATTGGCTACAAAAAAAAACTTACAAATCATTGATTTGTACAGAATTTCAATATGAAATACATACGGTTTGTGCATAAACAGGGTGTAGCGAAACTTTGGGACAGTCAGTGTAAAAATAAGGGTTTTCGACTTTCCGTTCCGATATGAAGTTATTAACATCTAAAGTTTCATTACTAAACCTCTTTTATATAAGTGAAATAAAATTATCTATGTACTATTTACGCTTGTGCCCCAACAGTGAGGACAATAAAGGCTGATGTCGTTACAACCTATTAATGACTCCACTGCTGGGGTACAGACCTTCCCTATGGATGGAATAGGGAGATTGGACCGTGACCCACCACGCGGGATCAGTGCGGATTGGTGGGTGCTAACGACTGCAGATGCAGCCAGGGACCAAAGCTTAACGTAGCTTCCATAGCACGGAGGAAAAATTTTTTTTTTGATAAACTTAATAATCTCGGTCTCCTCCGTGCTTCGCTCTATAGAATGGTTGTCTGTTGATGTGTTACATTCACTTCCCTTTTTCATATGTGGTGTTTGAAATTAACAGGTATTTTAAGTCCTTTACATACTAAAAAAATAGGACGAGGAGCTCGATAGCGCATTCGGCTGCGATCGTTGAAGTTAGATGGAGTTGAGTTAGGTCGGTCATTAGATGGGTGACTAAAATAATGATTATCTCGAGCTCCTCCTTGCTTCGGAAATCGTGTTAAGCCGTTGGTATCGGCTGCATTCCATCCATAGGATAAGAATCTGCAAAAAGTGGGGACATTAATAGGTTGACTGACTTTATTATATACTAGCGGTCGCCCGCGACTTCGTTCGCGTGAAGTTAGTTAGAAATAAAGGTTCACTGCTCGTTCCCCGTAGGTGATAGCGTGATAATATGTAGCCTCAGGGCCGGATTTAGGATTGTGGAGGCCCCGGGCCACTTAGGATTTGTATTCTTGTTAACCCATCGAAATGTTGTGGAGGCCCCTCAGCCACAGCATCACCTGCCGTGCCTTAAATTCGGCCCTGCGGGCAAGTACCACCCCACTCAGCCTTTAAGCGATTGGGGTACTCCCTCAAGATGGATGGGTAGTGAATTGCAAGAGCTTATCAGGGATATTTGAGATTTTGATATTTCACTGATTGCCTGATTGGAGTGAACAAATATAGATCAATGATTTCTGTTATTTAAGATTAATATAATCAAATAATCATGTATGTTAGATGTACAAAGTACTGTAGGCTGTAGGTAAAGGTAAAAGAGCAAAAAAATATCAAAGGAAATGATGTTTACTAGTTGGAATTTGAATGATTTTTTTTCCGAAGTCTATTGTGGGGGCCCCCCGTTTGTGGAGGCCCCGGGGCTTTTGCCCCGGTTGCCCTCCCCTAAATCCGGCAATGTGTAGCCTATATGTTGACCCGACTTCTTATTAATATTCGTGCCAAAGGACATCGACGAAATCGGCCCTAGCATGCCCAAAAGAATGTCTTTCACTATTATTTTTCTATTATTTTTTTAACTTATTAGCAATTAATCATAGTTAACGGACAATCTGTTTAAGAAAATGAAAAATAAAAGTTCTGTAAAACTAGACACTACATCTGTCATTCAACTGTTCATCCAACTTGTCCTATTTGGTAAACAATCTTGGCACTCCTTTTTATTGAAAATACAGCATTAAAAATTAACTGATAACTGGACTCAATAGGTTTCAGTCTATAATAAAGATTTATTTTAATAGTTTATTGGCTTCGTTATTATTTTATTATTAAATGGGTAATTCTGTTAAAAAGTTGTGCCAAGATTGTTTACCTTAATAAATGCAATAGGCGACCATAAAAATAGAACTAGGTACCTTAGTTAATAATACTTATTACTAGTATTTATATTATATTTATAAAAAGATTATTTCTGAAATAATGTAAAGATAGTTTATACTCCCATCCCATGTAATATCTGTTTATTTTTATGAAAATCATAATGATAACCAGGTACATACCTAATTACCGATAGTAAAATATAGATACAGATAAATAGAAAGACTTTGAACATTTCATTTGAAAAGAAATCTATTATCACTACAGGTATGTAAGTATATGTATCATAGGTGCCAACTGCCAACACTCATAAATCAATATGAATATGAGCATTTATTATTTTTATTATTAATTGCATTTTATGTTCATTTAATGCATATTATTTAAGTGCTTACATAGAGGTAAACACTAAATCTATTCAGAATATATAAAGTGTACATCTTTTACGATTAAGTATAATATTTATAACCTTAAAATCAAATACATTCAGTAGTAGGCCACGGTTCCTCAAGTTGTCCGTATCTCAACAAATGCCTAATTAGAGTTTATGGATGATTCCGAACACAACTAGCATTTTCTCATTGCTGGGCGTTCTAGGGCATTCAGTGTATGGGGAACTAGCAATGTCCTTTGAAGTAAATCCATGGAGTACTTTTTGAGTTTATCCCGGTCATACATACAGACAAACAGGCAAAAATTCTAAAAACTATATTTTTGGCTTCGGTATCGATTGTAAATCACACCCCAAATATTCTTTTAAAAAAATATTTAATGTACAGTTTTGACTTTTCTACCATTTTATTATATGTATAGATATATTAAAATATAGCTTACCAATACTCGTGAAAGTCGAAAGTAGCATATATGACGTCAGGGCTATTGTATTTGAGGACGTGGTTGCCGTAAGACTCCCATATGATGCGCTCGCGGCCCTGTTGCTCCACCAAGTTGACAATGCACACTTGCTTGTATAAATTCAACTCTTCTTGGAAATGCTTCTTGAATGCTGTGTGCGACTCTTCTTCAGCTGGCGATGTTAATTTTTGTTTCAGAACAGTTTTCCACATTTATACTTGATCTTATATCATAATGACATAAGAATGTATCTGTATATTTATGTATATGTATTTTTATGATAATTGCAGTCTTAATTTACTTAATTCTGATTTAGCGTTATTGTAGATAACGCAGATAAAAAATTATGTACGTATCAAATATATTAATGCAATCCCTATATGGTAATAATATAAATTATGCAAATGATTAAGACCTTAAATATCACGCTTTGTATATATACTACCGACTTATTTATGTATTACTAGAGGTTACCTGCGGTTTCACCCGCGTTAATTTGAGAAAAAAGGCCTCACTATAGTGAGTTTAGCTTAAAGATAGACATATGCCGTAACGGACCTTTTTATAGAACTTTTAAAGGAGAACATTTTTTCATGCATGATTTGTAACTTTAACTGTTTAAGCAGCGCACGAAACGGAAGCTCTGAAAAGGAATATTTTTTCCCGTTTTCGCAACTTTTTTCATTGATGCTCTGCTCCTACTAATCGGTTAATTCATGATATTATATAGCCTAAACCTTCATCGATAAAATTAAATAGGCTATCTACGTGGGTAACACTGAAAATGTTTAGAACTGGCCAGTTAGAAACATTGCTAATGAAAACTTTTTTTGAATTTAAATTTTAGAACGCTTTGGTAACCTAATGTAGTAGTTAGTATATTGCATTCATTTGTCATTTGTTTTTGTGAATTGACGGCAAATCTAAAACTCTTGTTACACGTGAAAATGAATCTAACGCGAGAAAATTTTCGGTCAATGATTTATTATGACTTTCGTTGTGGGCTAACTGAACAACAAAGCTATGATAGGCTGCGATTAGCATTTCTTAATGAAGCCCCATCTCGTGTCACTATTTACAAATGGTTTAACGAGTTTAAGCTTGGACGTAGCAATCTCAATGATGATCCGCGTAAGGGACGTCCTTTAACAGCGACTACTGAAGATAACATCAGTGCTGTGCGACGCATGTTAGTGGAAGATAAGAGAGTGACCTATCAGCAGATACAGGCAAGCCTAGGCATTGGTATGAGTGAAGTTCAAAAAATATTACACGAACATTTAGGCGTTAGGAAGCTTTGAAGCAGATGGATTCCCCATACTTTAACTGACGACCAGAAACACCTTCGCATGGACTGGTGTCGCCAAATGTTAGATAAGTTCAACGGCGGTGACTCAAAGGCTGTATTTGACATCGGCACAGGTGATGAAAGCTGGATATATTGTCACGAACCCGAAACCAAAAGACAATCAGCGCAGTGGGTGTTTCCTTTCGAGGATCGGCCAACTAAGGTAAAGAAAGGAAGAAAGATGATTGCCTCATTTTTTGGTCGGAAAGGTCATTTCCGACCAAACAGTCACAGTTGTGCTAGAAGATGGAAGGACAGTTACTGCAGACTGGTATGTCAATCGCTGTTTGCCTGTGGTCTTGGAAAAAATTCGACAGCAGCGCCCTTTAAGCAGGATCCTCCTTCACCACGACAATGCTTCAGCACACTCCGCAAAACGGACTGTTGAATATTTGACTATGGCAGGTGTCGAGATAATGCGCCATACAGTCCTGACCTGGCGCCCTGCGACTTTCATTTATTCCCAAGAACTAAAGATAAAATTCAAGGTATTCACTTTAAGAGCCCTGAAGATGCGGTGAAAGCGTACGAAAATGTCATAGAAGAGACCCCTGAGGAAGAATAGGCCCACTGCTTTTCTCAGTGGTTCCATTGAACGCGACGATGTGTAGAGAGGAACGGAGATTACTTCGAAAAACAATAAAAGTATTGGCAACTCTCTACATTAAATTGTTTTTCATTTTCTAAACAGTTTCAGTGTTACCTAGGTATCACAAAAAATATAATTTGAATAAGTAGTTCCTGAGATTAGCGCGTTAAACCAAACAGACTAACTCTTTAACATTATAAGTATAGATTTTAGAACTCAAAAGTTTTTATGTAAACTTGGGTAAATAGTAAAGTGAGACATATAACTACAAATTAAGTTTCAAAATTGAGTACAAACATCTGTCTAGACGGGGCGGCGGTCGGAATTTCAAGTCCGGCTGACTCCAGAATATTGGTACGGAACCGCGAACCTGAAAAATATACACCGATGTTATATACTCACATGTAATATAACTAGATTTCTCGCGCGAATTCGTCCGCATTACAGTTAGTTATTTTTGAGGAGCTTGATTGCGCAGGTGGATAGTGCTGCGCTCGGCCTTAGTTTTTGAAAAACTTAATATCTCGGGCTCCTCTCGAGGAAGCACCTCTACTATACAAAGGTTGTCTGTTGATGTGTTTCATTCATTTACCCTTTTCATATGTGGTATTGGAAAGGACAATGGGCAAAACGCACCCAGCTCCGCCAACAATGTAATTAGTATGAATCGATAGATTTATGAAAAACTAGCCTTTTTTATTATGGCACCAAAAAAAAAATAACCTGGGGGTCAAAAGATATACACCTGGGTATGTTCTATATTAGGGGTTAAGGTTTCAGCACATAGTCCTTATAGACGACCTTTGTGTGTAAGTCATAGGGACCGGTTACACACGGGCATATTTAAATAGCTCCTTATAGAGAAGCTCGATGGCGCAGGTGGTTAGCGCGTTCGGTTGCGATCGTTGAAGTTAAGCAACTTCCGCAGTGGTCGGTCATTGGATGGGTGACCAAAAACATCTATCTCGAGTTCCTCCGTGCTTTGGAAGGCACGTTAAGCCGTTGGTCCCGGCTGCATCTGCAGTCGTTAGCACCCGCCAATCCGCACTGGGCCCGCGTGGTGGGTCATGGCCCAATCTCCCTATTTCATCCACAGGGAAGGCCTGTGCCCCAGCAGTGGGGACATTAATAGGCTGATGATGATGATATTTAAATAGCTAAAGAAATTCATTCAATATCAATAGTACTTTCGTTTTATAATATTAGCAATAATAAGTGAGTGAATCATATCTTACTGTACAACCAGATACAAAATACTAAACAACAAAGCCTACCGACTATCCTGCTTGCTTGCTGCTTGCACTTACTGAGACTCCTCAAAACGTCTAACAGGGTATGGGGGTTGAAGGATGTGATATTGCAGTTGCCGTTGCAACTAGTCTACTCGTATGCAGTCCTATGTCTTACATTTAGTGCGCTCCCTGTTATTTCATTGATATTTAACTAACACGCTTTAGAAATAGGAACACGATTATCATCGCGTACGTCATTATAATCGTACGAGCTAATAAAAAATCTATGGATCAATTTAAATGCTCGTACTCAGCACACATACATCTGCCCCCACCAGGATTCGAACCCGGGACCTTTCGAGCCAGCGACACCATGAAATCCGGCGTACAAACCACTCGACTCGGATATATTAATTGACGACCTCCGTGGTCGTCAATTAATATATCCGTTCTATATACTCGTCCTTGTATCTTTAAATATTATGTTCGTTATAGTTACTTTTACCTATGGAATTGTACCTATTTAACTTAAAATAACTAAAGAATCCGGGATGGAATTTGATGCGCTTTGGCACAAATGATCATGACTATGATACCTTTCAAACAAATGTAGTTTAAGCCGTGGCGGACGTGGGTGCAGTGTCCATGCAATTTTGCCCATTGTCCTTTACAGGTATTTTAAGTCCTTTACATACTAAAATAGGAGGAGGAGTAGGACCTCGATAGCGCAGGTGGTTAGCGCATTCGGCTGCGATCGTTGAAGTAAAGCAACTTGTGACCAAAAAACTTATTATCTCGAGCTCCACCATGCTCCGAAGGTACTTTAAGCCGTTGGACCCAGTAGTAACTGTTAGCACCCACGAAGCCGCTCAGGGCCCGCGTTGTAGGTCACGTCATGACACTGCCCAATCTCCCTATTCCATACATAGGGAAGGGCCTGTGCCCCCGCAGTGGGACATTAATAGGCTGTGATGATGATAGTTAGTTCTTCAGAATACCACTGTATGACTCGATAACAACTCGAGCTCGACTAAATTAACTGGTTTTTTATGAGTTCCTTATTGTCAGGACAAGTTTGTGTATAACACGCACTCAAAGTCGAGAGTCTGTGAAGCGCCTTTGGCATATTAACGGTGTATTAAGATTTTGTGATTTATTTCGTTTTCAGTTCAAAATGAAAGTTAAAAAAACTGTTTGTGTAACGAAGCGAAAACTTATATAACTAGCATTCGGTTTGCGGATGGAAGCCTGCAATGGCAGATTACTTTCTAAATGACATGAATGATGTTAAAATTTTAAACATGGCCAAATGTAAGTTACGCGTGCAATATAATTTCGTCAGCAATTATTCTTGCTGTTGCTCATTCAGGAAATGGTGGAAAATTAACTTATAATGATTTATATTGAAGTCTGTGTAAATATTATACTTGCACAGTGTATAATTATTTCATATCTGACAGGAAGTCAATTAGCACTAATTAAGTATATCCAGTGTAAATAAGCTTATAATTTTAATTGATATTATAAAAGTCCGATTCGCGTTTGTTTTGTACAAATAGAATGAATATAATATCCCATTGTTAGTGTAAGTTACAAGCGTTTAAAATCTATAACACAAGTTAAAATTTGTATCACATAAACACATAATTTATATTTCAAATTCTAAGTCAAAAGCGGCGATAAGGTACAAATAGGAAATTCTTCTAGCTAAAGGTACTTGTTTGAATCTGACCTGCACAAAGGAAGCTCTGTGGATGCTATCAGAGCATATAATAGAAACAATTTGCTCTGTCTCCACGTAGTTAGCGACTTTGCCACTGGGCTCTATGCCTCGGCGATTGTACCTGGATGGATAAATATAACCATTAGAGAGTGGCAGAGCATAGAGCTTGTATGTAGCATCAGCTTTCTTAACATTACAAAATCAATCCAGCAGAGAATGAATTAGTAATATGGAATACAAACTGCGCTAAAATGTGGTTCCACTCAAATAAGGTTTAGAAAACGATCTCACGTTATTTCCTTACTTCTATAGAGTCCATAAAAAGAGGATATACATCATTCTGTTCTGTATATCGGTAAAAAAAACTAAATAAAACATTTCATTTACAGATTGCCGTGAAAACGTTTCTCTGGTTATTATGGCGTCTCACTGGTATGTGACGTCACACGACTGTCAATAAAACGTCAAACGATACAAAGTAATGTCACTTTGAGCGGAAGTTTATTAGCATATGACGTCATTTTGCTCTTCGCTAATCCCTAGCGTTTTCGGTCACGTGACCATAGGAGAAAAAAAATACATTTTTATTTAATGATTTTTCATCCGATAGCGAATTCATTTGCAGATTTTTGATTAGTCAAAGTATATTGTTCTGTCTGTGTGCGTGTGGTGTTAGTATTGAAGTTTACTTATATGAGTTTGGAACCATGTTTTAGTGGCCTTTGTTAGAGAGTAATACTTCCATATCATATCAAATTCGTTGCCAGCGGTCATATTACACACTTGACAACTCATGCTTAGCTATTTAAAACAGACAAGTGGCTGTCAATTGTTTTATTCACTACTAGCGGCCGCCTGCGACTTCGCCTGCGCTAACTTTAGTTTCTCCGAAAATGCCTCAAGAACCTAACACTTTTTCGAGATAAAAAGTCTCTTTAAAAAATGTCTGTGACTAAAAATTCATCCAGATCCGATCAGCCGTTTTTGCGTGATTGAGTCACAAACATACAAACTTTCACATTGATAATATTAGAAGAGTCAATCTTATTACATATATGACAAGATTGACTCTCAAAAAATATTTATTCAAATGATCTCAGATGAATCACCAAATTGATATTTATTTATTTTATGTAGACTTTAGCTTCCGTTACTTTTTTTCATGTACTCCCTTCTAATTTATTTTCCCCCCTCCCCCCCTACTAATACTTATGCTACGGCCACACTGTCGTGAACATTTTCCATTTTCCTGACAAGTTGGGCCAAGCAATAGTCACATTACAGAACACGTTCAAAAATTTTACTTTTTGCTTGGTAACATGCGTCGTGTAAAAGTCAAATGTTCGCGATAGCGCGACAAAGTGGCTGTAGTGCAAACAGGTGACAGGCAAATATTTGGGATAGAAAACTATATGTTATCTGACCTGGTTCCAGCCTGGTATCGTGACCGCCTAGAGATGATACCCAATGTGAAAGTCTCATCGCATGTGTTCGTATTAGTCAAAGATTCCGTGTTGAGGGGATTAACATCTGCTGGCTCGACTGCTATTTGCGAAAGATGTGCATAGCCTTGAATTACTGGCAACACCCATTGGTCACAAGATGGACTCTGTTGAAGAACAAAACGTATTATTTTCTAGTTTATTTTGCATACAGAAATGGAAATAAAACTAATGCTCATATAACAAGAAGAAGAAGAAGAAAACTTAAGCTCTACAGCACCAACGATGATTAGGTAGGTATATTTACGAAGTTAACATTACAAGAAAATAATAAGTATAAGTTTAGTTATATTTAAGAAATATACTTAAACACTTTCTAAAATTACTTCAGCAGTGTTACTTCAAGTGTTCATTTGAATGGAAAAAGTAAACAAACATTACTTTACCCCGAGAGCGATTATATCTTTTAACATGTGCTTGTTCCAAAAGAAGCGGTCATCAACATGCTTCCACCATCTAGTTATGTCAGTTACTGGTTTTCCTGCACCCTCTTCTGTTTCCAGTTTCTTCTCAATCTCATATTGTCGCTGCAAACTGTTTGTTAAGTCCAGTGTGCGGGAGTAATAGAAGCTGTCGGAATCGTCGAAGATCTTGTGAAGTTCATCAGTTAGACGTTTCTCAAAACGCTCAGCTAACTTTGGATCTCTTTGCTTCTTGACAGTTTGTTTCACCTAAAAGAGAACTATGATTGAGTTTTTCAAGATAAGTACCGTATTTATTTTTTATTTTTTTTTTTGAATACAATTACTCCATAGGCGTATGCCCATGCCATTATTTAGTTTAACTTTTATAAGTTTTGATATATTATACATTTGTTTGTGCACTCAGTGCGGCCTTTTATATTTAAATCATGCAAACATGCGGCATGCTCACTTATGTCTACTTAACTAATAATATTAATAATATAATTTGGACATATTGTCCATCCCCTTTTTTACTGCTATGTTTTGCTAAATAACTTAAGTCTACTTGTTTCCTTAATCTATGTTAGTACATGTTTGTGTTATTTCCTTATGGTAAAAATATGTCATGTCCGGTGTGGGGAGGTCGGTCCAGATATAGCTGTTTCAGACTTCAGTCAAATTTCTCATTATATTTACAGTGTCATAATCTCTCATACGTATCGCACTTTTGGTGTTATAACGGATTATTGTCTCCGTGGCCGCGCCTGTCGTTCGCTTTATGAAGCGGCTTACTGCGTCGTCGCTGTCGTCTGTGTAGTAGCAACAGCTGTGTGTATGTCGAGACACAGCTACCACGGCGTGCGGGATGCTGTCGTGCAGTTTCGTTCGAATCCCCTTGGTTCTTATGATGCAGGTGTTCTTGCATGTTTGTCCCTGGGCTTCGTGTATGGTAAGGATCTTGGATCCAGTCCCACTTCCATAGCCTTTGGCGCTCAAGGTTCCCTTCTCCTCTTGTGTATGTACTAGATACAGTGTATCTGGGAGAAGGGGTGGGATATTTGCCCCGGTATATCCTGTTAGATGGAGCGACCGGATCCGGGGTCTGTCGGAATATATCCCGTCATACACAGCGCTCAGGGCAAACGCGACATCCAGGGGGTTTCTCCTGGTGCAGAGCAGCTCTCGCGTGATATTTGCCACAACATGCGGGGTCTCGTACCTCAGACGGAACAGGTTTTCTCTGTCAATGTAGGGCAGCTGATTTATGTCGCCCAGAAGTACGACCCTCTGTGCTCCTGTTATGCGGGTGATGAGGACTAAGGAGCCAAGGTGGTTCATGAGAGCCTCGTCAACTATGAGACGGTTGTAGCTCTCTTTTGATCCATTTACCTGGAGGGATGCCATCGTCTTTACCTGTCTTGCAAAGTGGTTTCCCCACTTTGCCGATATCCTCCCTCTCAGGTCCCCGGCTGCCTCAGTCGTGGTCGTTATTATTAGGTCGCTCTTCGGGTCGAAGTTTTCTACCGCCCATGTTGACTTCCCACACCCCGGGACCCCGTTGACCCATTCGATTTCGGGCACAGTCCATGACTCCGTCCCTGAGCTCAATACTGTGTCCGCCATCTTCAGGATTTTGTCGTCCAGCATCACTTTTGTGAATTTGGCTGTGACGACAATGGGGTCATGATGCTTGATATTAAACTTCAGTTCCGTTCCGTTGTGGTCTCTGAGCGCTTCGACAAAACCCTCTGTCCCGCTGAAAGCCGCCATGTATGGTCCTTTCATGGTCCCATATATGGTCTTTTGGGCGTTATTGTCATAAATGGCGGCTTCCTCGCCCTTCAGGAGTTCCTGTAGGAGGCCTATGTTGTTCCATTGGAAGGCCTCCAGTATTCTCCTGCATTTATTGGCGTGCAGTTCCATGGATGCACGCAGGGTGCCCAGGAACTCGCTGAGCGCGTTCACCCAGCGGGTCCGGAGGTCCTCGCTTATCTCTAGCACTGGCGCCACCACTTGGCCCATGTCCCTTTTCAGTGTGGTCTTGGTGGTGCTTCCATTATGTAGAGCGGCCAGGCCTGGCGAGATGGAGATTCTGCCGCTGCCTGATATGTTGGTGTACGCCAGGCCGAGTTTCTCTTCGGAGCTGTCCATGAATAGTGGGACGCCGCGTATCTTAATGCCTGGCTCGCCTCTTTCTGCATGTGCCATCAATAAGTGAACCGTGGCTGGGATTGCGGTGACTGCTTCCTGGTTTGGAAGTGCAATCCGCACACTGCTCATTGATGGCAGGTTTGAGGCTGTCCCTTGCACTTCTGGCACGGCCCCGTGCAGGGTCGACCCATTCCTTCGCGCCACCACGCTAAAAGACCTCTCGGCAAATTCCCAGAAAACTGAACGTGATGATTTATCGCTCAGGATGTTATGGAGCTCAGTCATTTTCAGTTTCTGGTTCAATGCCATCTCCACGTCTAGTCTCTGCATAGCGAAACGTGGACACTCCGTTATTATGTGCATTATGTTTTCGATTTTATTGGGATCACACTCGCAGGCGGGGCTGTTCTTTAGGCCGAATCTGTGTAAGTACTCCGATGTACCCCCGTGTCCCGTCAGTATTTGCACCTGGGTGTGGGTTCGCTGTGTAGATCTTGCTAATCTGTATGCGCAGTCAACCTTGGGTAAAAAGATTTTGGTTACCCTCCCTGTGCTAGAGGCATCGTAACGGTCCTGCCACTTCCTGACCGTTTCCTCTCTGATGGTTTTTCTGACGTATGACAAAGGGACCCGGTCGTACTCAGCCTCGTTTCCGCTGAGGGCTGCGGCTTTTGCCAGATCGTCCGCTCTCTCGTTTCCGGCTGTGCCTACGTGGGCCCTTAGCCAGAAGAAGTTGATATCCCCGCCTTTGGCCCTGAGTATTTTTATATCCTGTTTTATTAGTTTCGTTAATGGGTGCAGCGCTTCTGGGTTTGTCAGCAATTCCAGTGATGATAGTGAGTCACTAAGTATGTTTGCCGACTTTACCCCGCTGCGAACAACCATTTGTACTGCCTTGTGTAAAGCGTACATTTCGGACTGGAATACTGTGCAAGTGGGGTCCAGTACGAACTGCACGCTGGATTGTTCCGAGGAGTCTTCCCACCATGTCGCCGCCGCGCCTACCTTTCCACCTATCTTGCTTCCGTCGGTGTAAATGCACGGCCCTCTCAAGTTTTGGAACTCCTCGGATGTGTTATTTTGTATTTTTGAGTAGGTGATGAGTGTAGTTTGTGATGGATGGCCCTGCTCCAGGAAGCTGACGTTCCTTTCTACTATTTTTCCTGGAGGGACATATTCTCCGGCATCCCTCTTCTTTGACCTGAAAAGTGCTGCTGTTTCTTGGACTCTGAGGTCCAGCGGCAGCAGTCCTGCCAACGCTAGAGCCGAGGTAAGGGAGACAGTGCGATAGCCCCTGCATATTTTTATCGCGAATGATCTTTGGAGTGAACTTAACGTCTTTTTGTTCATCTCCAGCCCAATTGCGGGTTCCCAAGCGCTTGCTGCATATAGAACTATTGGCTCAATTACCGCCGTGTAGATGGTGCGGATGATGGTATTATTCAACCCCCATGAGACCCTAGCGGTGCACGCCACTTGTATATGGCTGTCGCTTTCCTGCACACTGCGTTTACATGGTCCCTAAACGTTAGTTGGTGGTCAATAGTCAAGCCTAGGAGTTTAATGGTATTGGTAAACTCTAGTTGTGTGCCTGACATTTTGAGGGTTGGTTTTGTATAATTGAGCCTTTTAGTGAGCAGCATTGCATTAGTCTTGTGGGCCGCAAAATTGAGCTTATTCTGTCCTCCCCATCTCGCTATTTTTGCCAAGGCCGCGTTGGCTTTACACTCCAGAACTTCTATAGATGGCTCGGAGAATACCAGGACCACGTCATCTGCGAACGCCTGGCAGAAGGTGTTATCTGTCTCCATTTCTCTGAGCAAGGGGTCGAGTAGGATGTTCCAGAGGGTCGGGCCCCCTATCGAGCCCTGGACACATCCTTTGGTGGTAGTTTTAGTGCAGGTTCTTCTGGCATAGTTGACCGAGACCGTTCTGTCCGTGAGGTACGAGCAGACCACCTCGTACAGGTTCCTTGGACAGTGCTTTTCTGCCAACTGGGTCTTGATTGCCGGCCACCAGGCATTGTCGAATGCGCCTTCGATATCCAATGATATTACTAGAACCACCTTTTTCTGCGAAATTTCCGCCCTTAGGTGGTCTAGTAGATCATTAAGCGCGTCTTCCGTGCCCTTTTGTGGCATAAAACCGTACTGCTTCTTACTCAGAGTCGGGAGTATGTGCCATTGTATTCGCTTCATAATTAACTTTTCGCAAATTTTTCCCAATACTGGGAGGAGGCCTATGGGTCTATATGATTTGGGGTGGGTGTAGTTTTCCTTAGCTGGTTTCCGTAGTACGATCACATGTGCTTTTTTCCAGATAGTAGGGAAGTAAGCTAGTTCTATGCATTTATTGACAATGTCCAGAAACAGTCCTATATCGCTGGTTATTGCTGCCACGCAGATGTCAGCCGTCAACCCGTCCGGCCCTGGGGCCTTCTTAGGGTTCTGCGTTTTAAGCACAGCCTCTAGTTCTGCCTCTGTTATGTCAGGATCGTCTTTTCCGAGAGGCAATTTGCCGTGATCCTCCACCCAGCCCCGTGTGTGTGTATGGTGTGGTGTGTCCATGTCCTGTATGTCGTCCGGATAAAAAGTGTTTGTTAGGAGTTCTGCCGATTTTTCGGGACCTAGAGTGGTACCATCGTGGTCGGTAAGGAGCATGTCATCCTGTCTGCCATTAGATCTTTTGATGACCCTATATATTTTGTCCCACATGCTTTCTCTCTCTTGTGTTGTGCAGAACTCCTTCCAGTGGCTGGTTTGTGCTTCTTCAGCCATCCGGGTGTATGTTGTTTTTTGTGTTGTGTATGCCTCCACTACTATACTCCTGCGAGATGGTGCAGCGTTTCTGATTCGCCTTTTGAATCTGGTGACAAGTTGCTTCTGAGCTTCTAGCTCTTTGCTCCACCATGGGGGCTGTTTCCCGATCTTTCTGCTTCCCAGGGTCGGGATGGCGGTTTCACAAGCATTGTGGATGATGGTAGTGTATTGTTCCACCGCTTGTTCCAGTTCAAGAGTTCGATTTATTGTGCGGAGATGGTTGGATAACTCGTTTTGTTCAAGTAGGTTTCGGAGTTTAGACCTGAAAGAAGGCCAGTCCGCTTTTTTGGTATTGTATCTGCGAGTAGTGGTCGCTGGTAAATGTGCCAGTTTTGATAGCAGTCGCAGTTCAAAGCTGATTGCGTTATGGTCTGATGTTGTGACTTCTTCGTCTACTCTCCACGATGTTAACCTATCTAGGAGGGAGTGGCTACAAGCCGTCACGTCGACGTGGCTGGCGTACTCTTTTCCGTTCCTGATGGTGTGGAACGTAGGTGTTTTTCCCTGGTTTAGCACTTCGAGACTCATGGCGCTCAGGAATGCGCTGTACTGACGGCCTCGTTCGTTCTCCGAGGTGCTGCCCCACCAGTGGCTCCACGCATTTACGTCTCCCGCCACTATGAGGTCCGTCGTATTTAGTTTCTCGCAGGCGTATTCGATTCTGTGCAGATATGGTTGAATGTCGTTGGCCCCATCTAGGTATATTGAGATTAATCCTATTTTGAGGTTACCATTTACGATCTTTGCCGCTGCTTCCGTTTTTGTAACAATCTGTGGGTCGTGGATGATTTCTAGTTTGTCGTCTAGCACTATGATCGCGGCTTTGGTTGGACCTGAGTTTGGTTTTGTGCATTGTATGATCCTGGTCCCGGGGTGTTGCTTTAAGAGCCCTGTGTTACCTGTATAAGGTTCTTGCACAAAGGCAATTGATATACCCCTATTTTTGGCCTCTCTGATGAGGTCTAGTGTAGCCAGTTTGGATCTTTGCAAATTCGCTTGGTAGAATTTTAGGGCGTTTTTTGGGGCCAACGTGTTGTCGGTGAGTTTTGTGGTGTGTGGTTGTGTAGTGAGGTGCCCTTAGCAGTATGTGACCTTCGAGCGGGCTATGGCATCCCATTTAGCCCTCTCTCTACATTCAGTGCTAAAGCCCGTGTGTGTCGTGTCTTTATGTTTTTGTTGTAGGCAGTTTGTGCAGGATGGTTCTTCTCCCTTTCTCCGTTCTTCACAGTTTTCCCATTTGTGTGGACCGGCGCAGTAACTACAGGTGCTAGTCTCCGCTTGGCACAGTGAGAGGGTAAGTACCGTATAAGTACCGTAAGTGAGGGTTACTTTAGCTCGGGCGGGTAACTTTGTCCCAAATCAGAAAAAATATTGAACTTGCCGCCCCATCAGTATCTCTTGGGTAACCGTAATAGTTCCAGTTGAAAATCACAGATAGCCATATAGGCGCGTAGTGTGGTGTTGTTTTACCGACATCGTTCCTGTATCAAGTTGTCATTGTAACGCGGCATTTTTTGTAACTGAAATAGTTCGCAATTTTATGCGCAAACTTTCTCAAAACTGTGGATTTCGGTCAGTTTACTATTTTTTCTAAATTTAAAGTTATATTTTTTATTTAACTTAATTATTTTTGGGCAAAAATATTCATTTTTGTATTCAGTATGCTAATGGTGATCTGTTATAAGGGTTACTTAACATGGCTTAAAATGAGTTTTTTTCACAGAAAAAACTCAACGAGCTAAAGTAACCCTCTTTAAGGCCAACTTTGGCCCAAAATTAAAAAAAAATATATCATCATCATCATTATCAGCCTCTTAATGTCCCCACTGCTGGGGCACAGGCCTTCCCTATGGATGGAATAGGGCGGGTGCTAACGACTGCAGAAAAAAAAATATATTAACCCTTAAATATTATTTTTTCCTATTTTCGTATGATAACCTTGTAACCTATACTTTAAACTTCACAATGGAAAGATATAAACGTGACATATTCATCACAAAGAGAAGCTACAATTTTATTTGAAAAAAAAAGTGCACATTTTAGGTCAAAGTAACCTGCAGTTACTCGGTACATAAAAAATCAATGTGACGCAATAAATGAATAGCCTGCGCAGACAACGGACTTTTATACGCGTATTATGAAAAAATTGTCCGCCGAGGACTTATCACGGATTCAATGCACACGGTGTGCGGACATTTGCTTGCTCAGAAATTTAGTGAAGAGCGCGTTTTGGAATCAATATACTGAGATTACGTTGTATTGTATTTCACATGAAGTATAAAGGTACAATTCCGCAATGGGCTGCAGGCGACACTGCAGCTGACCGTGCAATATATGCATTGTGCAGCCGCTGCATGTCGCCGCGCTCGGAATCAATTTCATAGAGATTCATAGAAACTAGTAGTGTCGCCTGCAGTCTACAGCTGCGGCCTATGGTCTGCGGTTCAGTTCGGACTTGTACCTTAAGAAATAGAGAAGACGTTCTGAAACAGAACACAGGGTCCATCCCTATATATCGGATTGATTATATATTGGTATTGTTGAGATTTCTTTTTATTATGCTTTCACTACAATATTGAATAAAATAATGTTTCACTATTTTTCTGCAAGATAATTAAATATAGTTTAAAGAGTAAAACGATGCAAGTCATGACACTAAACCATAATAATAAAAGGTGATTACTTTATTTAAGGTTTTAATTCTAAACTTAGACAACCTTGGTCAATTATTTTATAAATCCGTTAAAATTATTTTATTTGCAGTTCTGATGATGAAATCTATAAATACTTCAACGAATATTTCGCCATTTTCCTTTCGATCGTGATACTCTTTTTTTTTGTATCATATAAAGTTCTTTTTTCCACTTCTTTTATTAAAATTTTACAATCAATTTCATGCCTCATTGTTCATACGTAGGTACATACATCACTACGCGGCGCAGGACGACGACTAAAGTCCGCTGTCTGTGTTGCCGCCTCATGTCCCATATGTTCTATTTTTTTCGAGGAATCTTGCGTACTTTTGTCCAGTCTGGTCCCTCAGTGTCCGCAGTATTTTTAATCCGTCGTGTTACTCGTTGCAATTGTAAGCAATCTGTTAAGGCGGACAAAAGTCCCTCGTCTACGCAGGCTATAACTGTTACAAATTGATACTGGCTTCAATTTATACTAAGGGAGCCCAAGCGGGGATATTGGGATTTACTTGAGCGCGGCAGAATAACAAAAGATGGGAAATCTGTGAGTGTCTTGTGAAGTACTCCCCTCTGAGTCCTTTATGTAGGGCCGAACGACTAGTGCAACATAAAAAAACATGATACAGCCATAGCTTTCGGTCGCATCCTAATCGTCAGTCTTTTGAGTAGAACTTACTAGAGGGTTCACGTAACGCTTCTGATGATATTAAAAAATATTGATCCACCGGCTTGCATGGTATGAGAGTGGTTGTACGAAGGGGTAGAAAGAATATAGGGAGAAACAAGTATTTCAGCGCGTCAGACATTGAGAAGGGCATGTTACGTAAATCCTCCAGAAGGCCCTGACAACAGATTCCTGCGGATTTTAGTCGCTCGTTTTGCTGGCGGCGCGTTTGCGAGAATCCGCTCTGCAACGCGCTTCGCTGCGCTCCAATGTGGCCCGTCAAGTGGAATCGTACATTAATATACCTGACGCGGTAGCCTACGATGTGCATTCTGACTCCATTAGAAGTTACGAGATTTCGAATAAACGGTTAGGACACTTATGTAGAACAGGGAATATGCATGATTTCTTCTATATATTTTTATTTAGTATTTTACTTCCCATAATACAGTATAGAAATATCCAATGTTAAAAAAATAAAAAATGGTAAAAACAACCACACAACACTTGGTATAACTGTTCATAAACAAATATTATTAAAAAATGATATAATGATATATATAAATAATGATATAGATGGTGGGACAATTCAAAAGTAATAGAAAAGAGTTAAAAGACTGCCCTTTTATATACTATTGGTATGAATCAAATAAAGAATAGTAATGAAGGTATACATTTTAAGGAAGTAGATAAGAAACAGTGCGTTTCCTGTATAGCAGGAAAACAAGCTCATAAATCTTTTAAAAGTGATTTTAGCTCTGACGTTGCCCTATTATATAAAAGGGTTGCCCTATTTGTAGGGTGGTCAGAGTTAAAATTGATTCATTCTGATTTATGTGGATCAATGTCTGAAATGTCATTGCAGGGCAATAAATACTTTTAAAATTTAATAGATGACTTTTCTAGAATGATTTTAAGATCCATGAGGGAGCATAAGCACCACAAGTTGTCTCTAATTTAATTAAGGATTTTTATTGTTTGGAAAAGTTTTTTTTGTGTGGTTCTAATAAGAAAATAACATGTTAAATTTGGTTTTTGTACACTCCTTCACATTACCTTTCAAATAATAATAAACATTTCCCTCGTCATTAATTTCCAGTAAAGTTTAGAACTAGATTTTTAAGAGTTACATTTTCATGATGCCAGGTGTATAACTATTTTAGTAGCCGATTAAATATTTTTGTAGAATTTGGAGTAATACCAGGCTATCCAAATAAAGTTTGCTTTGATTAATATCAACCAGCAATGAAAAACAAAGATATAGCTTAAGTGAACAAATAAAATATTTAGAGGAATGGAATTGTTTGTAACATATTGTAATAATTGTAAATAGATGTGTGGAATAATGAAGCAAGTGATATTTTATGAGGAAATATTACTTACAACTAAACAAAGAGTAAAATTAATATATTTGATTGATAAGAAAGAAATGATTATTACAATAAATTACCAATCTTACAATAAACTAAATAACTAATAAATGACAGGTAATAAATAACGGTTCCTTTTTTATATGTGATCGTTGCAGCAACGAAAAAAAGGGTATTAATGTTGATAAACAACTATTAAATTAAATTGAAATAAAAAAAGTTTTTCCTATATAGTTCACCTGTGTGGCAGCCTGTTGTGTTGTAGTTTTAATGGTATTGCTGACGTTTTTGACTGCACCTACAGTTTTGTTTAAGAATGCAGAGTTCTCAAATAGGCGACCACCCATTTTTCTGTTAATCAGACTTGCAGCACTTGAGACAGAACTTGAAGAACCATGTTTGGTGCAAGGGCAAAGTTCCACTTCTTGATTTACCGAGCCCATGTTCAAGAAACATATTGATTTAATTTTATATATGGTGTGATGAAAATAAATTTGTCCAACTGGTACACTCTCTTTTATAATCATCAATCGTGGTTCAAATATATTCGAATGTTCCACTTGGCCAATAATGCCATCTGTTACGCCTAAGCATTCGATGTCCTCGATATCCGAAAGATCCCATGCTAAAACAAACCACCGAAATGCAAAAAGTGCGATTTTTGATATTTCACTTATATTAGAAAAAACATGTTGTTATGTAATTGTATAAATAGGACTGTATGAATTATGACAAGAATAAAGCAATAAGACTTATTTTCTTTAAATCAATTAAATAAACTAGGTCAAATTACAAAGAAATAGCTATAAAATCGAAAAAATAAACCTGTACCTGATCTGACAGAAAAACCTCCCGTTAATCGATTCCACCAAAGGCTCGACTCATTTCTAACAAATATATAATATTGATCCGATCTAAACAATTCCATTTTTAAGACAATAATTTGATATCCGCTACGTTTCGAATAATTTCATTATATGTTTATTGTTGTACAAATTTGACATTTCAGAAGGAAGGGGGCGGGGGCAACCACAGAAGGGGGAGGGCGACGAACTTAACTTTTATCTCAATGTCGGCACACCCGATTAGCGTTTCGTTCCAAATTGAGTCATATGTTTTTTATATTTTACAATTTCTTTAACTTTACTTGACAAAAGTTAAAAGCTGTTGGTAACTGCAAAACTCAAAATTAGTACTTGCTCTAAATTTGGGAAAAATCAAAGATCCATCCCATAACTTGGAGAATGATCTTAACAGATTTTTTTTATTACTAGTAGGTTAGGGTAATTTGCATTTAAATTTTAAACGCTAGGTAGTTTTTAAGTAATTGTTATTTTGGGGGGTTATTATTATATTTTGCATTTTAATACAGCTTCATTAAATTTATCTTTATAGTGTTCAGGTAGCTTTTTACAATAATAAAATCTTCTTCTTTATTTACTAAATCACGATAATCTTTTTTTCCATTTCAGTTAGCTATATCCTATTATAATCGTTATATAAATAAACTTTGTATCCTTAAACTTGTTATTTAAAAATAACCATTGTGTTTTTGCCCAAATGCTTGCGTGTAACAAAACGCGAAAAGTGACGCGGTAGAATTTGGTTCTTTAGGTTGGTATACCTATTTATTTGCCATATTTTAGCTTCCGTTTTGAGAAAATGCTGAACTAATTCGGTGAATCCATTTGATTTAATGCATTTTATTTCACGATGGATTGGCAATTAACTTGCAGAGTATGCCTAGAGACAGGCGATATGGTCTCCCTGTTTGATTGGGATGAAAATAACGAACAACTCGGTGATAAATACACATTCTGTTGCGGCGTCGAGGTAGGTAAAATTACCATCCCAAAATGGTTGCGATGGCCACCCTGTAATTTTTTCCTACATAAATGTTGCTATATTGTGTTTTTGTGGATATTTTTCTCTTTTTGATGACATCCCCAATATTAACAATTTTGTGAAACTTCTGGACTGAACAATATTTCTTTTAGATCAGTAAAAATGATTCGCTGCCGACTCTTATTTGCTTATCATGTGTTGATCGCCTCACCTATGCCTATAAGTTTAAACAGCAATGCCTTACGTCTAATGAAACTCTAAAAGAATGCCTTGAAGAGTTTGTCAAAACTTCAGCTGCTGTTTCCACTCCAAACGCATCTAAACGTAAGTGTAATACATTACAATAATTGGTCTTCATATTACTACAACAGTGAATATCATCATTGAATATTTCTATAATTAGGAAATATGGAATATTAGGTGTTACTTTTTAATTTATTGACTTATCCTTACAGCTACTGAAACTGAAACAATTACCATCAAACAGGAGAATGGATTTCTTCTACAGTATGAATTGCCTGTGGAGCATGATCCAACTTCTCAGTGGACAAGGACTCTTACAAAAGCTGCTAATAACACCTCTGTTATTACAAAAGCACCAGGCCCAAGGAAACGTGGCCGTCCTAGAAAATACCCCAATGAACAGGGACAAATTGGTAAATTATTTGCTCTATTCTTATTCATATTTTAAGATAAAACCTACAAATTGCAGAATCGCTGTCAGATAAAAGTAATGCCTTTCTTTTTTTTTCACACTCTTTAATGTATATAAGTGACATAACTAATGTATTTTTTTTTACATTAGCAAATGCGAGTTCAGATATCTGCCACAGACATATGCGAATATGAATATTGTTTTTATTATTTCACCCCCAATTATGTATGGCTTCACAGGCTCACATAAGGGTGAGGTGCATTCCGTTTGCATGTACTGAGAATTGAATTATATTTGTGCATGCCTAATTGCATTAGGTATATATTTTTTGGTTTTTTAACCTCGTAACGCCCGCGGTCCTTAATAAAATACTAAAACAAACATAGCCTGCAGGTCCAACAATTCATACAGACTCATACTCCTAAACGCCCACGGACCTTTTTTAACGATTAAATCGTTTTGGTGATACTGTGGATTTAAATTTGCCGCTCTGAGTATAATATAAAATAAAATAAAAAAATAAAAAAGCTTTTTATTCCATATCCATTGGTTACTTCTACATTTTATTTATGTTAGTTTGTTAGTAAACCTAAGTATTATGTTGGTTTTTAGTATTTGTTAGTACAGTTTCAGACATGGATCCCATCTGGGTAAAAGCCTCCTCCATTGCTTTCCACTTTTCTCTATCTTTCCCCGCCTTCAGCCAGTCCCTGCCTGCCACAGACACAATATCGTCGGACCATCGTTTTCTGGGTCTGCCTACTTTTCTTTTGCCTTTTGGTCCGGACCATCCAGTGGACTTGAGGGACCACCTTTTGTCGGTATATCTTGACAGATGACCCGCCCATTTCCATTTAAGTTTAAGGGCCTGTTCCAGAGCGTCTGTTAGTCCAGTTTTGCTCCTTATGTCTGTACACCTTATTTTGTCTATTCTCCTTAATTTTAGCATGCTTCTTTCTATTGCTCTCTGGCATGTAGTAATTTTGTTTTTTATTTTATTTGTATAAACCCAAGTTTGACATCCGTACAGTAGGCTTGGTAATAGGCATGTGTCTACTACTGTCTTTTTTAGTGATATATCGAGATTGCCTTTTAGGATTTCTTTGTGTGCCCAATATTTCTTCCATGTAGAATTTATTCTTCTATCCACTTCTTCTTCGTTACTGTTTGCTCTGAATGATACCTGTTTTCCTAAATATATATATTCATTTACATATTCTATATCTTTTTCTTCAATTGTTATTGGTTTATTTTCTGCATTAGTCATTATTTTCGTTTTGCTAGGATTCATGTGTAATCCCACTATTTTACTCTGTGTGTCCAGTGATTTTAACATATTTTCTATTTCTGGAGCTGTTTCTGCAAACAAGGCAATATCGTCAGCAAATCTTAGATGACTTAGGTGTTGATTTTGTATTATTATACCTTTATTCTTCCATTCTATAGATTGGAATATATTTTCTAGGACAGCGATGAACAACTTAGGTGACAGCGGATCTCCCTGTCTAACACCTCTTTCTATTTTGATTTCTTTCCCATAGTTTTCTAATCGCAGTCTGCTTACACTGTTACAGTATATGTTTTTTAAAATATTTATGTATTTATTATTTATTTTACATGTGTTGAGTGCTTTCCATATTGAACTGTGTGTAATGCTGTCGAAGGCCTTTGTATAATCTACAAAGGCTATATATAATGGTCTGTTGTATTCTTTATACTTTTCCATGATTTGTTCTATTGTGTGAATATGATCTATTGTTGAGAAATTTGAACGAAATCCAGCTTGTTCGGGTGGTTGGTGGTTATCTATATTAGCAGCTATTCTTGCAGTTAGTATGGATGTGAATAGTTTGTAGGTGCTTGATAGTAGACTTATTGGTCGATAGTTCGAAATATCTGTGGGATCGCCTTTTTTATAAAGTAGTATGATGTCTGAGTGAAGCCATTGTTTTGGTACTATCTCATATTCTAGAATTAAATTAAACAGGTCTGTTAAGAAGGTGATTATGATTGGTGCACCGAGTTTTATTGCTTCATTACTAATGCCGTCTGGGCCTGGGGTCTTCTCTGATTTTAGTTTCTTTATATGGGTTAGTACCTCTGTTTCTGTTATGGGATCTATTGTGAGATTTTCTCTTTCTGTTGGGTGTTCAATTTCTACATTTCCTATGTCTTCTTTTGTTTTCCTATATAATTTTGTATAAAATTCAGTAGCGCAGTTCATAATGTCATTTCGGGATTTTGTTTCTTTTTTCCCTTTTTTTAGTTTTTGAATCCATTTTTCATGTGTTTTAAGGTCTTTGTACGCTCGTTTTAAGCTTCGAAATTTTGTTAGTTTTTCTTGGATTATCCTCTGTCTGTAGTTTTTGTAGTCCTCTTTAATCGATTTGTTTGTCTTTTTGAATAGATCTTTTAGTTCTTTTTGTTTTTTGCTCTTATTTTTGGTTTTTATTAGTTCTGTGCGTTTGGTTATTAAATTTATTGTTTTCTCACTCATTATTTTGTGTTTATTATTTTTGTGATTTCCTTTTTCCATTTTCAGGCTCGTTGTTATGATTTCTGCTAGTTTGTTAGAGTATGTTTCGACTTCTTTAGAGTGTTGTAATATTTCTAGGTTCATTTGTATGTTTGCTTTTAGATTGTTAAGGTATGTTGTTATTTCTTCGTCGGTTTTCGGTATTCTCGGTATGGGTTTAAATGACTTTCTACTTAGTTTGTTTGGTTTTACTTGGAAAGAAGCTCTTACTGGTCTATGGTCAGATGCAAAGTGTATTTGGTTTAGGACTTCAACATTTGTGATTCTTTTAGGTTTGTTACACATTACAAAATCTATTTCATTTTTAGTTCGTGTATCTGGTGATTGCCACGTCCATTTCCGACTCTGTTTCTTTTTGAAAAATGTATTCATTATAGAAAGTTTATTTTCATTGGCATATTCAATTAATTTTTCACCTCTTTCGTTTCGACTTCCGTATCCATATTTTCCCATTATAAGATCTTCATGGGCTTTTGTGTGTCCTATTTTTGCATTAAAATCGCCCATTACCAGTGTGGTTTTTTCTGACATATCGTTTGCTGTTTTTAAGTCGTTATAGAACTGACAAATTTCTTCGTCTGTTGATCTTTCTGTCGGGGCGTACACCTGGATCAGTGTTATAGCCTCGTCTCCAAGTTTAAGTTGCAATACAGCCACTCTTTCCGATATGCCTATGAAGTTTACTATGTTTAGTTTAAATTTTTTCTTTATTAGAAAACCGACCCCATATAGACCTTCTGTTTCTCCTATGTAGAGTAAAATGTAATCCTTGTACTCTTCAATACTACATCCCATTCTCCTTACCTCTGCAAGTCCTAAAATGTCGCAATCTATTTTTTTCATGGCGTGTGTTAATTCAAGAAATCTTTCTTCTGATGAGAGTGTTCTTACATTGTAGGTACATATCTTTATTAGTTCTTGTTTTTGTTTTTTGTTTTTATGTTCTTTGTTTTCCTGTTCTTTGTTTTCATGTTCTTTGTGTGGAGGGTAATGGTCTAATTCCCCACGGTGACCAACCGGATTGGGGAATATTGTTGTGTTTTTATTATGATTTATTTTTGTACTAATCTTATCTATTGTATTTTTTCGGCAACTATTGTTTTCTAGTTTTTTGAATTTGCTATATTCTTTACTGTTTGATTGGGATTAATTTTGGAGAATTTAGTGGGTTGTTTTACAATGTCTTCTTCTTGTACTTTGCTGAAGCTATTGGGGGGTGTAGAGGGTGGCGAAGATGATGCTCTCTTGCGTTTTTCCGATTCTTGCTGGTCTTTAATTATAAGTTTTCCATGCTTTATGTAGGCATATTTTCCTGATACTCTTGCTTCCTTAAGTTTCGCATATAAAGATTTCCTTAGATCCATTTCCTCTTTAGTGAGGTCCTCTGTTATGTAGATGCCCTTGGGAAGGTGTTTTTTGTTTGTAAGTATTTCATTTCTACGCCATACTAGAGTAAATACTATCTTTATTGGTCTATTTTTGTTTTGAACCTTTTTCCCAATTCTGTGCAATTTGCTTATCTCCCACTTGTCCCATTCATGGGTTGCATTTTGGCTTTTGTTTAAGTCGTTTAGTAATTCCAGCACTTGTTTCATGAGTTCCGTATTGTTGGTTTCGTTTTCTTCTACTCCGTGCAAAATTAAGTTTGTTTTTCTAGCTTCAATGTCTAAAATTTTCACTTTAGATCTCAGAGTTGCAACTTCTTCTTTCAACACTTCATTTTCCTTCCTTATATGCGATAATTGTTCCTCAATAGTTTTGCTAATAGTTTCCTTAATGATTTGTGTTTGTTTTTCTTGTTGTTTTTCCATTTCTTCTTTCATTTTAGCCCATAACAATTGCATTTGTTTATCCATCTTGATATTATGTTAGCTCTGAGTATAACCAACATAAAAACACATGTATTGGGATGGCTGCTATCTATGGGCGCGAGTTGTGGTGGATAAAAAAAAACAACTGTCAAAGTCATTTAACAAAGTTTGACGACTTGGCGCATAAACGGAGACTACGTAACTAATCGTAAAATATTTCTATAATCTATTAATTTAAAAGCGATAATTTATAACAATTTTATTAATAATTGTATGACTCATTGTTTGAAAACTTTTATTGTTTACTCCAATAGATTAACGATATTTAATACCTAAAGTAATTGATACAAAAAAAAGGACCTAGAGCGTTAACTACTTAAAAACCATATATTTATATTTTTGGTTTTTCTTATTGTAAATTGCAATATCTACCGCAGTTACTGCCTGTTTTTTTTACTTTTGAGTGATCAGGATATCTGCAAGTTGCTAAAAAACTCTAATATTGAGTTGCATCCATTTGATGCCGCTGGCGAGGAATTGCAAAGAAAGTTCCACAATTCAGTTACACCTGTGTGTTACTAAGCAAAATATTTTTTGAATTTTCGCATTATTTTTATTTTAATTAGCTATTTGATATCCAAGTATAGAAGACTG